GCTATGAATGAGGAGAATCAGAGTTTTTAAAGGTTAAAAACAACCTATGTATTTACCCAAGAGAACTGACGATCTACATTGACAGAGAAATTGTCACATGTATGTTTACAGCAGCTTTACTTATAATCACAGAAACTGGAAACCAAATCTCTCACCTGCAGAAGGGCTAAACAAACTGTGGAACAAGCATAAATACTGTTGGAGGGGGTAATTTGGTACATCTTATAGGGAAAATGTTTGGTATTATTTACCAAAGTCAGACATACAACCTAGCAATTGCACTCCTCAGTACATCCCCAACCAAAATGCATAATATGTTTGTCAAGTGGCCATATGAGAATGTTCATAGCAGCACTGTTCATCATTACTATGGAATAAAAAGTCTGACTCCCTTTTTCTTTTTCTTTCTTGGAGAGAAAAAAAGACACTGACTCTGTTGCCTGGGCTAGACTGCAGTGGCGTCATCATAGCTCACTGAAGCCTCCAAATCCTGGGCTCAAGTGATCCTCCTGCCTCAGCCTCCTGAGGAGCTGGGAATACAAGTGTGTGCCACATGCCTGGGTAATTTTTTAATTTTTTGTAGAAATGGGGGGTCTCACCATGTTGCTCAGACTGGTCTTGAACTCTGGGCCTCAAATGATCCTCTTACCTGGGCCTTTCAAAGTGCTGAGATTACAGGTATGAGCCACCGCACCTGCCCACCTCCACTTTTGATGTTTGTTCACTGACAGCCATCAAGCCTCATTACTCTGCTCTGTCTTCTGCCTCAAGCTAGACAAGCTGATAAGAAAGCCCAGGGCCTGCCTCCCTTGGCCTGAGTGGGGAGTTCAAACCACACAACTCCCGGCCCATGGGAAAAAGCATCCTCCCTGGACTGCTGGCCCTCCCTCCTCTCCCACCAGCCACAATGAAAACCAGAGCATGTCCTCCCTGTGCTCCAGCTGGGTTCTGAACCCTGCTCTCCCCAGAAAACCTCCCTGTGTAAGTAACAAATCCTCCAACCCTCAAAAAATAGCAACCACAATAACACAAGAGATCATCCTCTCCTCTCAGATGAGAGCTGTGACTCAGGGAGGAGAAATAACTCGCTGAAGATCATTTGTCACTTGGTTTCAACTCATCTCCCCTAATAATTTAGGCTGCTTTCCCCACATGGGACCTTAATCGATTTTATCCCTCAGATCTTGTTACTTTCCAAACTTGATGTAATGTGATTTGGCTTGAACCATCTTTGGGATTACAAGGACAAAATACAGGTTGGGTATCCTCAACCCAAACATAGAAACTCCAAAAGTTTTTGAGCCTCCACATGATGTTCAAAGGAAAAGCTCACTGGAGTATTTTCAATTTTGGATTTTTGGATTAGGGATGCTCAGCTGGTAAATATAACTATTCCAAAATCTGAAAAAAAATCCAAATCCAAAACACTTCACATCCCAAGCATTTTGAATAAGGGATATTCAACCTTCGATATCAGCACAGTAAGTATATTTCCGTAATCTAGAACTTAAAAAGTCCTATGATCTTATAGTTCACAGTGAAAAAATACCCTGTCACATTACACCTTCACGCCCTAGCTGATTAATCAACAAATATTTTTTTTATTTAAAGAATCAAATAGGCTCGGCACCTGTGGCTCAAGTAGCTAAGGCGCCAGCCACATACACCTAAGGTGGCGGGTTCAAATCCAGCCCGGGCCCGCCAAACCACAATGACGGCTGCAACCTAAAAATAACCGGGGGTTGTGGCAGGCACCTGTGGTCCCAGCTACTTGGGAGGCTGAGGGAGGAGATTCGCTTGAGCCCAGGATTTGGAGGTTGCTGTGAGCTGTTATGCCACGGTACTCTACCCAGGGGGACAGCTTGAGGCTCTGTCTCAAAAAAAAGAATCAAATATATATTTACAAAAATTGTCAGTCTTGGTCAGGAGACATATTGAAAACTAATCAATGATAAATCTAATCATAACAACATTCTTTCTACATAATTACTCTTATTTGGTGGCAAGTTCTGATGTATTATATTAAATATTTCAGCAGCAACAGACATTTACTCCAGAAATAATTACAATATGGGGTCTATATTCAAAATAATTTTTGTGATACAAAATTAATACATGATTATTGCAAAAAATTTGACAATAGATTCATTTTAAAAGAAGCTGATCATTTCCCTCTGTAATCCATATCCTCCATCTGTGAAGTAATGGATGTGAACATGAGGTGAGTATTTTTTCTCCTTTCTTTATGCATGCACAACCTACAGGTAATAACATGATTATGTAAAAATAAAATGCCAAACCTCCCACTCTATAATCAATAACTATTTAATGAGACTTTCCAATGAGACCACTACATTGGTGCAGTAGGGGACACAAAGACATTTGTCAGCCACGACCACTATTCTAACAGTCTTATGACCCAACTCGGGAAGAAAACTAATAAACTCAACAGTCTCAAACAGCAGCAGCCCACAAAAGTATGAGATCTCATGACATGAGGCCTGATAAACTGCCGAATGGTAAAATGTGGATTACGTGGACAGAGATCAGGAAGGGAAAGAGTGTGTCAGGCAGGGGTGGTCACAGAGAGGATCAACCAGGTGCCTGCATTTCTGGGGCTCTCCACTGAAGACAGTGGAATTTTCCTTAAATTTTAGGGAAGTCAGAATTACCAAGATTTGTTAGAACACAAATTGCAGGCTGGGTACAGCGGCTCACGCCTCTAATCCTAGCACTCTGGAAGGCTGAGGCAGATGGATCGCCTAAGCTCAGGAATTCAAGACCAGCTTCAGCAAGAGCGAGACCCAGTCTCTATTAAAAATAGAAAAACTAGCCAGGCATGGTAGTGGGCGCCTGTAGTCCCAGTTACTCAGGAGGCTGAGACAAGAGGATCACCCAAGCCCAAGAGTTTAAGGTTGCTGTGAGCTGGGATGCCCAGGGCACAGAGTGAGAATCTGAAACAAACAAAAAAGCCCACAGCTTGCTGGGCCCCGCTGCCAGATCTTCTGAATTAGTAGGTCTGGGGTGAGGCCTGTGAATCTGCATTTCTAACAAGTCCCCAACTGATGTGGATGCTGCTAGTCCAGGGGCCACATCTGGAGAACTACTGACTTCAGAACGGCGCACCTACCTGTGGCGCCTTCAAGGTGACTCCAGTCACAGCATCAGCAGAAGGTAAAAGATCCTGGGGCAAGCGAGGGAAGGGCTCGCCCCTTGGCACGTCCAAAATGAATGCTGCGGGAGGGGTTTCGTGGGCCAGGGGGACACAGGTGGCACTGAAAATTAGAGCATTTTAAAATCAACCAAAAACTACAGGATCATCCCTTGGTGAAGAGACAGACTTTGAACACAGGGCCATGTGAACATCTGAAGTTTCCACTGTCGAGGAATCACAGGATTCTGGGGACCATCACTTAACAGCGCTCCCTGTGGTTTGTTAATGTATTGTAGTCTCCTGGACAATAGAACCAGCTAAAACAGTGATTTTGAAATAAAATAAGCTAGACAAAAACTTACTGAAACTTCCCTTTCCAGAACTAAAATTAACTGTTAAAATGGGATCAGGGCAATAAGACATTATTCACTACTCTCACCACTGTTGACATAACACTGTACAAAAGGGAACAAACCCACAGACTCTCCTAGGCACAGCCAGATTTGCCTTGTCCTGGTGGGGCCAACCATCCTGACCATGCACACCAGATTTCAGGCCTGTGTCTATGAATTGTTTCTGGATCTACAGCAAAAAAAAAAAAAAAAAAAAACCTTACCAAACCCCCCTATGAGTATTAGTTACCTAAGGCTCATAAAATAGCTGTGAAATAGGTCTTATTTCCATGGTTTGAAGAGCCGCAGACATAGTGATTAAAGGATTGAGACAAAATGAGTCTTTTCAATGGCTCAGAATAGGGCGTGGAATCCCTGCCCTTGAGAGCTGGGCTTACCCATTTCCCTGTCTGCTTCTTTGTCGGTTGTCTGTATTATGGAAAGATGGCCGGGGTAAATTATTTCTTTTCTTTTTAAACCCATCACCCTACATTAGCAACTTGGTGTATGATCATTTCTGAAGCATAAAATTTCAGCCTTACAACATCACAATATCTCTCAGAGCATAAACACGGGGAGAGGAAGAAACACATTACCTCTGATTAGCAAATCGCCCATAACTGGCAATGCAGTGGACCTGAGGCCTCACGTATTCAGTTGAGAATTCTTCAATGGGTATGATGCAAATTTGATGCTATTGAGTAAATACAAATAAAAGGCACATACATCGCAGTTATCAGCAAAACCAGTGGTCTGGTGAACATGCTCTTTTTCAAAAGCCTTTAAGTGAAGAATTTATCCAGAAAAATGATAATCATTATTTTGAAGTAATAAATGTTGCAGGATAACATGGTCTATGGTATCATTATGCACAACACATCCTTTTTTTTTTTTTTCACCTTTTCCTAGTTATCTAGGACCACTGATGAAACTGCTATAGGAATAATCACTAAACAGAATTGAGAACTAAATCCTCTGAAAGTCCACAAACAACTCTTTGCAGTAACTCTGGGTGCCTGTGCTTTCTCTCCTGCTCTGGGCCAATGCTGGCACTTCAGACGCCCTGGCAGGGGCAGGAGAAATGCAGTGGGTGGCCAGAAAGCTTGCTCCTCAGAGAGGGCTGCTGCTGGAAATAGCCCTAGCTAGCTTTTGAGCCACACAAGAAATTCGGTCCTTAACTTATCAATATACTTCATTTACAACCGAAACTGCATCACCAGCTCAAGTGCAAAGCTATTCAGTAACAACAAAAATGTTTATTGAACACTGCCGAGACTAGTCCAAGGTGGACAATGCTCCCGCCCTCATAGAGCTTCTGTTCTGGTCAGCCT